TTTCAACTTTCTTGGTAGTTTTAGTTTGCTGAAATTCCGGCAATCAAAGCAAAAGTAGTTATCGGCCAGCTCATTAGTTTTCGGTCATTTTGTTGTACAAATGACTGGGAATAGTAAAGTAGCGGAACACGATGAAGTAGTTTTGGAATGTTCTTTATGTCCGGGAGATGTTTGTTTTAAAACACTTTCGTTTGCTGCTGGTTATGCAACCGAGTCTGCTATTCCGTCCCTTTTTGACGATGTAGTTTTGGGAATGGTAGTAGGCGAGTGTAAAGTAATAAACCTTAGTGTATCAAGTCCGTCTTTGTTGGATTTCATTCAATTGCGCAACGAGGGAACTGAATATACACAGCTGAAATTGAAGTTGAGCGGTTTAAAAAAGGTACTGATTTTAATTTAATAACCGGTGTAGATAGAGGAAATCTGGGAATTCAGTGAAGATGAGAAGATTTCGCAAGCTAACGCCCTAAGAATACGCGGGAACTCGTTGTTCAAGGTATTTCTTTGCACTTTTTTTTCATTTCGCTTCCTGGGATGAAGTAAAGTCGACTAGCATCTTTTCGTGGGTGGGTTTTGTGACCGATGACCATTATTTTAACGAACATTTGATCAGGATGTATGGATTGCGCTATAAATTAACAACACTCTGTTTTAAATTTCCGGCAGGCCTAGCTATATATTACTACTGCATCCGAGGAGGGCGAGTGTGTGTGCTGTCCAGGAATTTGTAGGAATGACACGTCGCAGCAGTACTTGCGTGCACCTGACGTACATCCTGACCCATTTGTACGACCGCATCCCAACAATCTCTTCGATTGCGGAGTTAAAGCAGATGAATTAGCCAGTTCTTTTCTCCACACTCATTAAAGCTACGTGATGTCTTTCTCACACAGTACTTATTGATGAGCCTTATGTGATACGCATAGAAGGAGGCATTATGTCGGATCAGCCGCGTTCGGCGGAGTTGTTGATGGCCCTTTACTCTAGAGTAAAAGCTCCTTCACATATTTTTGGGCCGTTTCTCAATCAATAGAATTACGTCATCACTGTTTAGTCCAGTTGATCTTAAAAATTTTGGACGAAAACATTTCGTTCTAATTATCCATAAGATCTGGCGTCTGCCTCTATTCAAGACCTAATAGCTACTTTTGCTCAGAAAGGCCTGGCCAATTCTAGGTAAGGACATCGTGGCCCAGATTCTCTCCGGTGGTCTACGCTGAAACACGCATTATGTGCTGCCTTGCGCCACGAAGTTGTTGACGCGCTTGTTTACTGAAATGACCCTTGTTCTGGAGTTTGAGTTCTCGATTAGATAGTCAGCTCAGATGTAATTTTAATGGCATTTAACAGTAGCGCTTATTAAAAAGAAAACGGAACCAATTCACATTTGAGCTATTACAAAATGCGTGCACAATTGAAAAGCGAACCAATAACCGGAATCGTTGCAAGTTGTCACCATCAACGACTTAATTTATTTCGCACAACTGTTGTTTGTGTATTATGCAAAACCTTTATATACACTTATATTTATTAAATTCCTCAGACTGGATATTTCACGCGGGCGTTGCGAGCGTATAAACTGGGTATCCGACTGCTCGATGGCAGTGTAAGCGTTACTCCTGCTGCAGACAGTTCTTCACGCAAAGCCAATTCAGACGCGCAGGACTTGTTTATTACTCTTCTCCTCAATGCCTCCCTATGCCTTTTGCGGCTTCTTAACGAGCAGCAGAAGTCCTCCGGATCCGGCTTGTCCCTAGCCAAAACCACTAAGCCAGTTCAAACCGAACAGTTGATGCGGCCCTGCATTGCGACCTGTCGGAAGGCTATATATCTGGATCAGAACAACGCTAAAGCCTGGTTTCGTCTGGCTCAGGTAATTCCAACCCTGTCGCAATAGTTTTTTTATTACTCAAATTATAATGAATTCGCATGTATCTTCGATGTCATTCATTCTTAGCGAATCTGTCTGACTCTAAGCAACTGTGTCCTGGAGTCGTATTATTATAACCTATTCAGTCAAGTATTTCCATAGGTGAGTCTACATGGTCATTAATTTTTTTTATTGAATCTGATTATCTGACCCGGTAGTTCGCAAGCGTCGAAAATAACTAGTGTTTATTTTTCCTCCATAACATCCGTGGATAATGACATACCCAAAAAGTCTAAAACCACATAAACATCGAAAGCCTTTAAAGCCTCGGTAGCAGCCCGTAGAGTGTTGGTAAAATCCGATCAGGATCAGTTTGCCCTCTATGTTCACATGCTTAATCTTTAAGATATAATGGCCATTTTGCTTAACTCGAAGACCAAAAGCAATGCCGGATACTGGATCCTGAAAATTTTATCCGGCAGCCTCGGTGGGATTCGAACACATGTCAGTAAGGAGAAGGTTTTAGTACAGCCAAAGCTCTAGCCAGCTGAGCTACGAAGCTCATACCGGAAGCCGTCAGTTTGACCACTTGTGCCAAGCTACCCACCCAGCCGTCCCACCCAGCAATCCATCCAACCTCTTACTTTAATCAGATGCGACAGGTTCCTGTCGTGTTATCACTAAGCAGAAGCGTCCACTTCAATTCGTCTAGTCCCATTTTTTCCGAGCAGGATTCTCTAACCACGAATCCAACCTAACAATCTGCTTTTCTTTGTACGAAGACAGGCTTACGCTGCACTGCATGACTATGAAGAGGCTTGCAAGGCTGGTGAACGTAGCCTAGCCCTTCTGGATGCCGCATCCAAGACAAAAACCAATGTTGCCACTAATCCACTTTCCCGGACGCAAGTTTCTGGACTTCTGGACAGTTGGCGTTCTCTGGCAGCCAGTCAGCAGAAGAAAGAACGCCAGTCAGTGCGCAGGGCCTTTTTGCGACGCCTGGAGGCAATTCAGAGGGGCGAGGTCAGTTGGAACTCTGTTACTTTCTACTTACATTGTATAAACCGACAGCCACCATCCCCAGAGACCCGCCCTTTTACTATGTTTGTGTGGTTTATATCAAACTTACAGGAATATCCTAATTTACCAATATGAGCGCTATGCCAACTGACCTAAGTACGCTTTTCAGATTCAAATTCCGATTAGTTCATTAGTTAAGCTGTAAAATGTTTCTGAAGACAGACCGTCGCACACTATACCCGAACAAGATGAATACGACAGTCTTACGAAATACCTTCTGGAGGTCCTTATAGCTTTTACAAAGC